GTTCCGTACGTGCATGTGAAATTATGTTTTCAATAAACCTTTTTCTATAGAATGTAGGATATAACGCCAGTTCCTTGACTGATAAATAATATAGCTACACTTTCATTTCCCAAAGAATTTATTATTAGCATATAGTCAATATAGAATAATAATACGCACAATGGTTCCTATGAGCGGTCTATGCATACCGTATATGCTAATATGACCTCTTGCTTAAACGGAACACGGCCGAACAATTGCTAAATACACGTTGGCGTACCGATATTGAATGCATGCAACAAAGCTTTTGTTTCTATAGTGACAGAGACGTAAAAAAATAATTGTAAAACATGCGAGTGTACATTTCTAACAATTAAAAAATATACGGTAATGTACTGTAAAAAATCGCAACCGTATATATAGTTTATTGTTCATTATAACTATATCCATGCAAATGTAAATCCATGCAACCATTTTCGGCCCAAATGTGGTAGGAATGTGCAGGGCGTAGTAAAACACGGGCGGTGAAACGCGCTAATATTTGCCTGATCCATGTGTGATGCACGGGAGACTGGCGCGAGCGTGCGAAATGCGCGGATCAAGCGGGATTTTTAAAGATGGAGCGAAGCAAAAACAAGAAACAAAAATATTTAAAGGGCAATCAAAAAGTACAATTTGTTAAGGTAAATCTATCCTTAAAATGGAAAAAAATTAACTTGTTATAAAATAGAGACTCTGGCAATTAATTAGCATTGCAAATTACATCGCTGGAGTTGGAAAAGCATTTTTAACGCCATAGCCGTTTCACCGCCCGTGTTTTACAGCGCCCTGGAATGTGGTAGGAATTTCCGCACGCAATACAAAAGTATACAAAATTTGCAAACTTTGCAAGGCTATATATTTTTCGCATTTTACAACATTTCGCAACCAAACTTTGCAATTTTACTCATTTTAGTACGCTCTTTCTACCTGTGGTGATTTATTTGCATCTCCTTGCCTAGTTTTAAAATTAGTCTGTAATGGGAATTGTTTATTTTTCACCGCTTCCTGGAGTTCTCCTGTATTTACCAACTGCACCTATATACTGTATCTGCAACTCAATGTTGTTGGGTGAAGTAAGAGTTTGGTATATTGCATGCCGTTATAGCGTAATATGGTAATAATAACTAATGATATAGTATTTTCAACTCGAGTTTACTGTGTCTGTGTTTATCATTTCGAGATCACGGGGCGTCACGACCTAATAAGGGGTTGGGTTGCATTAAAACAGAGGCAGAGATCAAAGGCGAACGGGGGGGGTGGACTGACCAGGCTTTTGGTCGGGCAATTTGTATACAAGTTGTACGTAAAGGTGGGCAGATATCAGGGCTTCTTTTAAGAATTTGTCAACGGAGGAGGGGCCATCAAGAGAAAGGGACCCAACTAGGAGGTGGTGAACGGGAAAAGTGGGAACTTGTCTGGCCCAGAACAATTTTGTACTTTTAAGTGTCGGGGGCTTGATTTTCGGCATTTGTAGACACGATTTTTCATATATTTCATCCGCTAGACAAAGATTTGGTCATGGGAATCAGTAAAATACTCTTCTTAACTAAGTTATTGTTCCCTTTTTTGCTTCTATTGTAGACAGAAGGGACCCTTCACTTGGGGGGACAACATAGTTCACTGGAGGGGCTAAAACAGGAGCTGGGGGCTTGTCTCCCCAGTCCCCAGTCTATGGTTCATAAAAGAGGCCGGCCTGGCAGATAGTACTTAAAATATAGACAGTTGTACTTAAAAATGATTTAAATTGGTGGAAATGGGAAGAAATATACTACGTTTTCAAAATGTATGTTTCCAAAAGTTCTTGCTTTCATTTTCATCAGTTTGCGCATGCTTTTATTATCTAGTAGATTGAAGTCGAAACGTAGAAAATAAAATGCTTTCAATATTCGGAATTACCGTTATGTATTTTACAGAAAATACTCAGTGGTCCCAGTCGGAAAATGTACGGATAAAATTCATGCATAAAACTCTCTTCTCGTGGGTGTATTCCAAGTAATTTGCATCAATGCAATCAAACTGCCTACAAAACAGACTTAACTATGAGGCAAAGGCAAAAATTTTAATAGGAATTTTTATAGTTTTTTATTATCTATTTCCTGACCAAGTTTTCCAAGAGAGAAAAACTACTTATCCCGTTACTACCTTACTACCTAGAAGAAACACACTTGACTATATGATTAATAATTACCAAACACACATTGAGAAAGACATTTTTTCTTATCGCATACTACCACGATTCCACGGCTATTCCCAACTCAAAGACCTAGCTGGAATGTTTCCTTCCGATGGAAAATCTCTTCTCAGTTGATGAAACAAAGCCAGCACATTTAAAACATAGGAACATATATAATTTCCATTACAAGAAATAAAAATATGACATGCTTGTATACTGGTCAGAATGCATGGCTACAACACTGAATGGCTACAACGCTGAATAGCATCTTTAAAATTTTCTGTGTAAAGCAAGATTAAGAAAATGGCCTATGATCCCAGCCATGCAGCCAACCCGGAAGCTCCCCTAGTGACGCAAAACCATATCGCATAGGGCGCTTCAATATATAACAGAGCCGGACCAGAGATACAGAAATCAGGAAATAGGAAACATTCATTCATTGCATTGATTATTGTATTTAGTGTGAAAACATTAATCTACATCATTATATTAGTCAATGTGTTGTGGTCATTGAGACCCTGTGTCTAAATCAAGCAGTCTTAATAAGTTTATTCGATTCCAGAAAAAACCCACAGTCCGTCAAAAAGGGATCTGTCACCTCTCTTAATGAAACCAAGCCCAAACCGTCCAGGAAATGCGATTACTTCCCCAAACTTTACCATTGACCCAAGCGTGAACTTTGGCTGTCCGGCTCCCGCGTGTCCAGCTCACAGTTGCTCTACCACTCCCGCTGCCTACATTCAAACCACTTGAACTGCCATCGTTGTGATCCAAGGAAACATGAAAAGCGCCTTTCGGAACACTGTAGTAGAAATCGCGTTTCTTCCCAAACCAGCCAT